GGGGTCGAAGGGTTTCTGGGGCTCCTCTGGTTAGTGGTTCCAGCGCTGTGCAATCTGTGGGGCGGACGCTGGAACGGCAGGAACCCCTTGTTCATGCGTTGCTTGTATGTGGGTGGGTTTTGGGCCGGCTGTGGGCAGCTCCCTTGGAGATGCAATGGGGGTTGGTCCCCAGGGCTCGCCCTGCTCCCTGCCCTTTGTCCTTGCAGCCCCATGAGCTCTGTGGCTGGCGATAGAGCGAGGTGCGTGGATGCGGCTGGGAGCTGAGCTGCAGGAAAGCCCTGGGCCCCAGCGGCCGTTTGCTTCATCCTCACCCAGCGTCATCCACTCTGCGCTGCTCGAGCGCACTGAGCACAAGGATTCAGTTCCTGGTTGGCCTGGTTCTCTCCCAGATCTCCCTTAGGAATTGGTTGGCAGCAACAGGTGTCAGGGCATGGGTCTGCGAGCGCCTTGTGGCCGACCCCCCCAGGCTCTCAGGGCTCTTTCTGTCGTGCTGGCAGATGTGGCTTTGTATTGATAGGAAACAAAGGGCCGTCCTCTGCTGGAGCGCTGTGTCTGGATCACCGCAGATATCTCCATCTCAGCCATCAGGGGATGCTGTCAGTTTCCCAGTCTGGATGCCACCCAACCTCCCCAGCCCTCTTCCTTCCATCCCTGCCCCCTGTTCCATAGCAGCCCTGCAGCCGTGGCACCCAGCAGTGCGATGCAGCAATACCTCTGGTGTGCTGAATGCTGGGGCCGGCACAGAGAGGCTCTGTGGCTGACGTGGATCTTCCTGGTTGGACTGCTTGTGAGTTTGCTGGAGCTGTTGAGCACACGGGGTTCCCCGCCTGCCCTGATTGCTTACGAGGCCATCGATGTCCTTTGTGTCGTCGTGCCTCACGGCTTCGGGTATCATGCCATAGACTCCTTAGAGTCGGAAGGGACCGTTTGTGATGATCTAGTGCGACTCCCCACAAGGAACAGGGACATCCACAGCTCGATCGGGCTGCTCAGGGCCTGATCCCGCCTCACCTTGGAAGGGACAGGGCATCCACCGCCTCTCTGGGCAGCCTGTTCCACTGCCCAGAATCACAGAATGTCCCGGGTTGGAAGGGACCTCGAGGCCCACGAGTCTCCAGCCCCCCACCAACGCAGGGCCACCAACCTCCCCATTTCACAGCAGCCCAGGCTACCCAGGGCCCCATCCAACCTGGCCTTGAACACCTCCAGGGGTGGATGGGGCATCACAGCCTCTCTGGGCAGCTGTTCCAGCACCTCACCGCTCTCACAGTAAAGAACTTTGCCCTGACATCCAACCTCAATCTCCCCTCCCTCAACTTAAAACCATTTCCCTTTGTCCCTTGCTGTAAAAAGACATTTTCCTTACATCTAAACTAAGTTTTCCCTTCTTCTTTCCTTTAGCTCCCTTTAGGTATCCAGGTCGCTTTGGAGCCTTCACTTCTCCGGGCTGAACAGCCCCAGCTCTCTCAGCCTGTCCTTGGAGGAGAGCTGTTTGATCCCCTGGTTCTGTTTTTTTTTTTTTTTGTGGCCATCCTCTGATGCGATCCAACAGGTCCATGTCTCTTCTGCACTGAGGACTCTACATCCCAACAAAATCTCTAGATGTGGGATTGTGCAGATTATGGACTCAGATAAGGGAAGCCTCTTTACTTCACAGGTTCTACAGGAGCTGATGAGAACTTCAGAAATAAAGTGGGAGCTCCATACTCCGTGGCACCCTCCTTCTTCAGGGAATGTAGAATGAATCAATCAGATGCTGAAAAAGCACTTGTCAAAATTGGTTTCAGAGACCAAATTACCATGGACAAAGTGTTTGTCTGTAGCCCTTGTCAGAACACGAACCACTCACAGAAAAGGCTTAGGAGTATCGCCCTATGAAGTGCTGTTTGAGTTGCTGCACTTGGGAATGGTGAGATGCCCGCTCTTGAAACCAAGGGTAAGTTTCTCCAGAACTGTGTACTCGGGTTGTCTGCTGCTCTGTTACCCCTTAAGGAATGTGGACTGTTGGCTCAAACTCCAGCTCTGGAATTTCCAGTGCACTCATCCCATGTAGGAGGCTGGTCCTAATACGCATCTGGAAGGAGTCAAAGCTTCAGCCCAAGTGGGATGGAATGGACCATTTCAGGTACTGCAGTGGATGTTGTCTACCTTGACTTCAGCAATGTTTTGTTACAGTCTCCTGTGACATCCTGGTAATGAAGCTGAGAAAGTGTGGGATAGATGAGTGGATGATGAGGTGGGCTGAGAACTGGTTTACTGGCTGAGCTCAGTGGTGGTGATTGGCGGCGCAGAGTGCGGCTGGAGAGCTGTGAGCGGCGGTGCTCCCGGGGGTTGGTGCTGGGTCTGGTTGTGAAGGGGAGATTGTGTTTGTGCTGTAGAAGCTTTGAGTATTTTCTGTATGTAGTATTGGCTTTACTGAACTTACAGCCCTCTTGTGGAAGAGCTGTTTGCCTTCCACTAAGAAAGTTGCAGAGCAGAGTGAAAAGATAAAGATTTGGGGTGTTCTGAATTGAGCCAGGCACAAAATAAGGCAAATGTGCAGGGTGGAGAGAGAGAGAGCCCAGCACAGGGCAGAACAAACGTGCTCACTCTTGGTTGGCACACCAAAAGCCTGTGCTGCCATTCAGGCTGGGGAGCTGGGCAGAGACAAACCAGATGAGGTGGAACAAAAGCAAGTGTTGAGCCTTGCACCTGGGAAGGAATGGCCGCAAGTATCAGTACAGGCTGGGACGTGACCGGCTGGAGAGGAGCTCTGCAGAGAAGGACCTGGGGGTCCTGGTGGACGACAGGTCGGCCATGAGCCAGCAGTGTGCCCTGCTGGCCAAGAAGGGATCCTGGGTGATTTAAAAGGAGCACAGCCAGCTGAGCAAGGGAGGTGATTTTCCCACTCTGCTCTGCCCTGGTCAGGCCTCACCTGCAGTACTGCATCCAGTTCTGGGCTCCCTTCATGGTACAGAAATGACAAGGATCTCCTGGAGAGAGTCCAACAGAAGGCCAAGAAGATGATAAAGGGCCTGGAGCACCTCCTCAGTATTGGAAAGGCTGGGGGACCTGGGTCTGTTCAGCCTTGAGGAAAGAAGACTGAGAGCAGATCTGATTAATGCTAATGTATTTGTTAAGTGTGGGAGTCCAAAGGACACAGCCAACCTCTTGTCAGCGATCTGTAGGGGCAGGAGAAGGGGAAATGGCCACAAACTGGAGCACAGGAAGTTCTGCACCAAAATGCAAAGGATCTTTTTCACAGCAAGGATGATGAAGCACTGGAACAGGCTGCCCAGGGAGGCTGTGGCTTCTCCTTGTCTGGAGATATTCCAGACCCTCCTGGACGCCCACCTGCGCAGCCTGCTGTAGGGAGTCCATTTTGCAGGGAGCTTGGACTCAATGATCACTGGGGGTCCCCTGCAACCCCAATTCTGTGGTTCTGTGATTTTAATCCTTGCTTCTTGCAGCGATGCAGTGTTTCAGAAGAGAGAAAAGCACGGCGGGCATCAACTGGATTTCTGTGGTTGGTAAAGCTGTGCTGAGAACTGGGCTGGCTGCTGCCCCTGGAAATGTGTCTGCAGACTTTGCACCCAGAGGAATGACTTTTCCCTGCAGGTTGGTCTTGTCTAAGGTAGGTCACTGCTAGGTGAGCTTCTGCTTTAGAACATCAAGTTGTACAAATAAGGAAACTTCAAAAGCAAGATTGCCAATTCTTTTTTACATAGGTGATTTTTTCACGAGGAAAGATTTGAAATGCTTACTGCTAATGGAAGATGGAGAGAGGAAAATCAAGTCAAAGGCACGCTGTGCATAGCCAGCACATAGCATCTGCACCGCTCTCCCCCTGCACAAAGGAGGAGCAGCTCAGCAAGCTTGGCCTGGGCCATGGAAGGGAGCATACAAACATCTGGACCAACCCCAACGGAGCTGCTTCTGCAGGTTGGTTGTCTTCTGCTGTGTGTCTGCCATCCTGTTGCTCTGGGGTAGATTTGTTCATGTTCAGCTCATGGATCTGAGGTCCGAGTTTAAGGCTGTGGGCATTGTCCAGCAGTTGGGGTAGGGTGCGAGGCAAGGAAAATTGGGGTAAGAGGATGAGGTTTAGGACCAGGAACCTCTTCCATCACTATTAGCTCTTGCTATTCTCTTTTTGGTTTAGGAATCCACGTGGGTTTTTTAATGAAGAACAAACTCGTTGTGCAGCTTGTGAGTGAATTCATTCACACCTGTTAATTGGCATTCTTCTCTATGTGGAGCTGCAATTGCAATGAATGCTTGTGGTCTGATGTGCAGCCCCCTCTGATGTGCTCAGATGAGTCCAGTTGGCAAGGCCTGGCTCTCGGTTGGTGAGTTGTGCCCAAGGTCTGAGAGTTGACTCTTGTCGGCTTTGAGATGCATCTTCCAGTTGCACGCTGTGTTCTTCCTGTTGTGTTGAGCTCTTGAGCTCCAGCCCTAAGTCAGGATGCAAGTGCTACCGCAGAAGGGATGGTTGAGATGGGAAGTGCAGTGCAAAGGTCTGGAGCCAGCAGGAGCAGGGATGTGATCATTCCCTGTACTCAGCTCTGGTGAGTCCTCGCCTTGAGTGCTGTGTTCAGTTCTGGGTCCCTGACTACAAGAAGGACACTGAATCCCTGAGATATTGCCAGAGAAGAGCAGTGAAGCTGTGAGGGGTGTAGAGCACCAGTCTTATGGGGGGGCAGCTGAGGCAGCTGGGATTATTTAGTCTGGGGAAGAGGAGGCTCAGGGCAGACCTTATCCCTCTCTACAGATAGCTGAAGAGAGGTCATGTTGAGGTGGGGGTCGTCCTCTTCTCTTAAGTAAGTAGTGATAGGACTGGGGGGAACGGCCTCAAGTTGCACGAGGGGAGATTGAGGCTGGATGTTAAGAAACACTTCTCCACAGGAGTGGTCCAGCGCTGGAGCGGGCTGCCCAGAGACGTGCAGGTGTTCAAGAAACATTAGATGTTGTCCGGAGGGATGTGGCTTAGTGGGAAATATTGGTGGTAGGTGGACATTTGGACTGGATGATCTTGGAGATCTTTTCCATGCTTGCTAATTTTATGTTTCCATGAAAGGCATCTGCTGGTGAGAGCTTTGCTGGGTGAGCATCACTCTGCTGGACAGCAGGCAGCTGTTGTCTGTGCAGACAGCCACATCCATGGCGAGTGGAGGCTTTTAACCTTAACCTTGTCTTTCATGTCTCATGTGCAGTAAGGCATGTTGTTATAAAGCACCATCGTAGGGGCAACCTTGATTTCTGCAGCCATCAGAGCTCTCCCCCATGCTTCTCCCTGTGGTGTGAGACCATATTGGAGGCCATGCAGAAGCCTGGGTAGGTGAAGTCAGTTGCTCTTCCTTCCCCCCCCCCCCCCCCCCCCAATGCTGGAAATAGCGGGGAACGGGACTGGGGGGCATCCCAGCAGTGGGTTCCTACCTCAGCAGGACTGAATGGCCGTTCTGGTGCATGTATTTTGAGTGAATCTGACACCAGTTAGAGAAACGAGGGGCCTGTGGACAAAAAGAATGTGCAGCGTTTTGCAGTGTAAGATGTTCTCTGAGCTGCTGTTAACAGTGCCCAGCATGCTTCCTTTTTGACGGGGAGAGGTTTAGCAAGGATTTTTTTAGATGAAAATAGTTAATCCCATATTTCCTTTTCATTGACCTTTCTTTCATCTAGTTCCTGAAAAGTTACCTTTGGATTATACGTTACTATTTATTACTGAAGAGAATACACGTGCACCCCGCGCTTTTATCTGTGCAAAGAATCTTGTAAATGTCTGTGTGTGTGTTTCTTTTTGGCACTGAGATGAAGCTGTGTGGAACACAGGCTTGGATGACTTCTCAATCAGGTGCAGAGACGAGTAATGCTCATCATAGATGTCGTGCTGACAAGAAGAGCAGAGAGGTAAATTTTATAGGGTTGCATGCTATTTTTTTTTAATTTTAATTTTTTTTCAGTCATAACCATGGAACCACAGAAGCGTTACCCAGACAGAAGGAGCCTTTGTCACCTGGACTTCCTACCAATGACACAGGCAGTGGAAGTCAGCATCCCAAGCATCCATGAAACCCCTGCACAGGACTGGTGAGAGTTAACCTGGTGCCATCCTTTGGCAATCTCAGGTCTCTCTGTAAGCTCCCAAGCTGTGTCGTAACTCCTCCCGTGGTGCTGACTCAGTTCTCCCAGTCTTTTGTGTGGGAGAGCTGGAGTGGAACTCCTTCCTGCTTCCTGCCTCTGTCCTCCCTGCTTTGCCCATGGCCCACTGAGCCTCCATCCTTGTTAGGTGTCTTGAATTACTGAGTTGCTTAAGGATTGGGTGGACCAATTCTTAGCGATGTCTCTAGGTCCACGTGTGCACAAAAGCACACTCTGATGCAGTCAGTGTAATGATGAATACACGCCTTGTTTCCTTTAGCCCGTATTTTTAGTTCAGGAGAACAGATTTCTGGAATGATGTTCAGCTTGGCACCAGAATCCCCTTGCCGCTCCCCATTGCAGTCACTCACGAGGGCTTGAGATCCACAGGGAGGAAGTGTTGCCGATAATTACAATCCGTGGTTTTAAAAGTGATTTAATCTATGGTGTATGATATGAGTAGTCGTGGTGAATGATGTGGTAAGGCATCCCTGCAATTTTCAACAGGAATACTTCAAGGCCGCTTTTCAAGGTTTCTTTGAGAACTTTCCAAGTCTCCAGGAATGTTAAGCGCCAAGGTTTCTTAGCCTTCCGAATGGCAGAGTTTCTATCTAAGCTGGCAGCCTTTAAGCCCAAACCCAAACCAAGCATGGCTCACAACCTCATTTTTCATTGCTTACTGTTATGGTAGCTGCCATCCATGTCCACCCTGCATATTCTTAGAGCTCTTCTGGAGTCCATGGGGCAGACTTATGGTTGAACTAAAGGGAATTTTTTTATAATGCTCTAGCTCCAGATGATTATCCCTAGTATCATTATATTAAAAAAAAAAAAAAAAAAAAAAAAGGCATTTTGAAGTAGCGTGATATATATTCTGTGCCTCAGAATGTGGCACGTGTGGCATGAGAGAGTTTGGAGGCCACGAGGACTGCTCAGACAGTATGAGAACTGTAAGAGCAGAGAGCTATAGGTGATGCAGCGCTATTCGTGCCACCCACAGGAAGCGGTAGCTGGAACAAAATATGGCCAGAAGAGTGATCAGATTGCATTTGGTAAGGAACTATTTCATTAGTTGTGGAATTTTGACAAAATGTATATTCAGGATGATGATCAGCATGCCAGGTGCTGGGACCATGCCGAAAGAGAAATGGTCTGAAAACGTAGGTGCAATTTGAAATATATCCCCTTCCACAAAGCCCTCAGATCCATACTCCAACTGCATCCAAAGCAACGCAGAGCCCTGTGCTTGTTGTACCCGGAGCTCTCGGTGCCAGGAGTTGCTGCTGTGTTTGCAATGACGTTGTGTCAGCAGTGTGCCATCAGTGGGGTTGTTTGATGGCAATGAAACAGCTGAATGGTGTACCTCAAGACTAAGAAAAAAGATGGTAGTGGTGACTGTGTGTCTAGGTATAGATAGCTTGATAGAGATCTATAGGACTCCAGTGTGGATTGTACATAGGCCCTGCGCTGCAAGGTACACTGTTGGGAAGCAATGTCCATCTGCCCGAGGGCAGGAAGGCCCTGCAGAGGGACGGCCTGAGGCCAGTCGTACCAGGCTGCACAGGAGCAAGCGCTGGGTCCTGCGCTGTGGTCATGGCAACCCCATGGCAGCTTCTGCAGGATTGGGCTGAGGTAGAATTCCAACCGCCCGCTGATTCTAGAATGTTGGGTGCCGTGTTGGAATCTTCTGGTCCTGTGACATGGTCTTGCCTCCCCACCCTGTCGTCATGGCGGAGCAGCCTGGTGGCCCTTAGTGATGTCACAAGCGGCTGGAATGAGGGGAGGAGCAGTGCGTGCTGCGTCCCTTCATTGGAGCGCTTGAGCTCTGCGTGAGTAGCTCGCTTGTTGCCCTTGTGCAGCGACTGAGTGCCTTTGTTTTCACCCCGTCTTGCGCAGCATCTTGTAGGTAAGCTGAGACAGGGCGTGGGATAGAGGGGTGGGCAGTGAGCTGTTGAGAACTGCTGGCTGGTGGAGCTCGTAGTGTCTTACTGCTTACTCTTGACCATCAGACGTAATTTTTACTCCGTACCTACATTCCAACGCGATGCATAGAGGTGACATTTGTCTCGTGGCTTTTCCCTTGTCTTCTTTGCTAAATGGTGCAAGCTCACTGACCAGCTCTTTCTCTCTGCTCTCTCCTCCCTCTACCTGCTCCCTTGGTGCAGCTTTTGCTCGTGGAAGAACAGAGCAAAGAGACAAGGATCAGCTGCGAGTTCAAGACACTTGTCTACCTTGTTCTGATCTCCTGCCAGGTACGTGCCACGCTTTGTCCTCCCACGTGGTTTAGCAGCCCGCGTCGCACCGTGTTTAGTAACACAGCCCCATCCAGTTGTGATGGGACACTGGTCACGCGTAGGTTTTTTCCGCTTCCCTCCAGCTCAGCTCTCAGAAGGATGTTGTCTGTAGTGCTGTGACCAGCTGGTCTTAAGGAGACCAATCCCTTAGGCAGAGTCCGACCCCCGGTTTGTGCAGAGCTGCACAACGTGACCACAAGCACGTGTGCTTTGGCTGTGTGAGTGTGCTGCCCGACAGCTGTGGGGAGCACAGCACAGTCCCCCTCTGCTAGCAGAGGGATAGCCACTTGGTCAAATGCTGCCTAGTAGGCTCTCATTTGAATTGACTGAAGATAGTGGCTGTTTCTAGAACATCTGCCTATGCCAGTGGATAACTGAGGGTAGTTCTGAAGAAGTCTCTCAATAGAGTGGTGTGTGAACAGAGAAAATATGAGGGTGTTTCTTTTCATTCCAGCCAGGTCGTGCCTGCTGTGATGGGCGTCGCGTGCAGCGAGATCAGCTGTGGGCCTGACATGGCACGGATGGAGGTAGAGTATGAAGCTCTGATTGGTCTTTGTTCCCTGACTTGAGCCAGCAGTGAGCCGCAGATGTGCTCTCCTGCTTTTCAAGGGAGGCAGAGTCCTTCCAGCTCTATCGGTGTCACTGAAAAGCTGCCTTAAAGGCTTGATGTCCTTGCTGCGGGCATCTAGATGGCCGTGGAAGTCATAGTACCGACAGAATCAGATGCGGTGTTATAAACGTGCGGAAGCATTTTCCCCGTCCTGCCTGGATGTTGTCACCCAAAGACAAAGTGTTGTTCTCATATTCAGCAAGTTAAAGGAAGCTGGCACTTGTAGTGAGCCAAGGATTGGGTCAGTGGCCCAGCTGCTGTGTCCAGTCCACGGCTGAGGTCTCCAGGCAATAGGTGACAGGAAGTGAGCAGACTCTTACGCTCCTCTTTGGGAAGGCAGTAGTGCAAGCGTGGCAAGTTTATGAAACTGCCGGAGCTGTCTTGGTTGTGGAGTTTGTCCTCTTAGTCTGGGTAGAGAGATGCATCTTTGCACTGCCTGGCGATAGTGCTGCACACCGGGAAGAGAAACAGCTGTGATTAGACTTGCAGTTTCTTGTTAAGCGCTCGTGATAAGGACCGAGTGCATTTCCTGCAGCTTTCTCTGCCGATGTGCTCCTCACCCTGAAATCCTCCTTGCAGCCCCCAGCTCCTCACCGTGGCCTGTGCTCTCTGTTTCAGACTGAGAACAACGGGAAGCCCCTGCTGGTCTGTGAGGAGTCATCTCTTAATATTCCAGCTATTGGTGCTGCCCATGTTCTCAAGAGATACGTTGCCCAGGCACCGGATGAACTCTCCTTGGAGGTAAGCAGTTAAAGGCGTTCCTAGTTGTCGTGTACAGAAGAGTATAAGGCATGAACGCATCAGGAATATTCTCAGACACCTTCAGAGTGTTTGGTGAGGTGAAGCCCAGAAGATTCAGTTCCAGATTAGACTTGCAGTGGGTTGGATGCAGGGAGGAGTTCAGCCATCTCTAAACTATGGCTCTATTTGGCATTGGAATCTTCTGATCAAAGAGCTACTGCCCAGTGTTGTAGCCTGGTCTCTGAGCAATGGCAGACCAGTGTATGGAATGTGCAGATCTGCTCAGGATCTGTTCCGCTGACTTATGCCTGCGGTTTAATTGGAGCTCTCCCTTTGGCAAAGAGCCTGCTGCTTTTGAGAACCATTTCATACTGAACAGCTGAATTCTGTACGTTGTGTATTGTAGTGACTCTTCTACCTCCACGTTCAGTTGTACAACCGCAAATGCCTGAAGAGCTGCACTGGTGCAATGGCTCTCAAGCTTGACGATATTGGGCAGTGCAGAAGAATGCAGTCATTTGAGCTGCGCTTTCCTCCCAGCCGTGCTGAAGCTGGGATTGACGTTGCAATCTCTTGCAGGTGGGAGACATCGTGTGCATCATCGATATGCCGCCTCAGGAGCTGAGCCCCCGCTGGAGAGGCAAGCACGGCTTTCAGGTAGGCACAAGCTTCAGACGTGAGAGCGCAACTTCGGTCGAGGCAGGAATCTCGGCTTAGAGCTGCCCTGCCTGCACAGCATGGCTCCACATGGAAAATGGTTTCCCTGTGTTGGTGTCAGGAGACTTTCCCTTTTGCTGTGGGCTTAGGCCAGAGCTGAAAGTTGGTCTTTGTAGGAAACTGCCTCCTCAATTAACTTAGAAAGAAGAGCCCTCACAACATGCATCAGGTCACGGCCACTGAACCGCACCTTTGGAAATGCAGCAGCTAGGAGACGTGTTTCAGTGTCTCTGAGCTCTTGTGCTTGCAGCCATGCAGAAGGTGAAGTCAGTGTCTTTCAGGAAGTCGCTGCCTGTCAGCTGAGATGAGGCAGGGTAACAGAGCCTCTGCGTGCTTGCTGCTGCTGCTGGCTGCAGAACGCTGGGTAGCTCAGAGCTGGGGATGGCAGCTGCATCTCAGTCAGCAAGCAGAAAGTTCATAGGCTGTGCTAACTCAGATCTAGCTGCATCAATCTATCATAATATATAGCTTCTGTATGAAGTCTTTCCCTTCGGGCACGCTTGAGATTTAGGGGCGCATAGCATACTTGTCCTTTCCCTGCTCCATATGCAGTTACATGGATAATTGGCTGCCAGTTTTGAATAATTATTAATTTTAAGCAGAACATTTTTTTGTTGGATTGTCTTACGGAGCATCCGGCAGGCACGTTATGAGGAAAATGATATGTTTGAACAGTTCAGGCCTGAGAAACGCTGCCTTCAGTATCGCACCTCTCTTCTTCTTCTTGTTACAGGTTGGATTTTTCCCCGGTGAGTGTGTGGAGCTCATTAACGGAAAAATCCCGGAGAGTCTCATCAATTCAGTGCCAAAGCCAGGTACGATGATACATTTGATGGTGCAGAGAAGCAAAATGGAGTCTTTTTTGGGTGTGTTCCATGGTTAATACCTCCCTTATCCTTCCCACCTTATCCTCTGTGCTGATGATCCTTCATGCATAGCACAGGGCGTATGGCTGTTGTTTTGTAGGCAGTGAGAATGAGGGAAGGCAAAGGCAGTTCTCCTGCAAGTCAGTACGAGGCTGAGAACAGCCAGCGTCCCTGGTGGACAGATAGAGGTCTGGTTGTGCTAGTGACATGCTTGATCAGAACGTGGCTTTTCGAGAGGATCCTTAATCCCCAGGTTGGGCAAGCTAAGCGAGAGGAGTGCATTAAGCTCCATGGGAACGCGCAGAGATTTGCCCAATCCTCCTGTGTTCTTTATGACTGGATTTGGGAATATCCTAGAATCCTCGTAGAATCCTTGCTTGGGATGGAAGGGAGCTCAAGGATCATCAAGCTCCAAGCCCCCGCCTCAGGATGGGCTGCCAGCATCCACATTTAATGTGGGACTGGACCAGGCTGCCCAGGGCCCCATCCAGTCTGGCCTAGGACTCCTCCAGGGTTGGGGAAAATCCATTTTTGTACGCACTTGCTCATCTCGTTCTTCCCGTTTTGACGTGCTCTGCAGAATGTGTTGTGCTCGGCCTTGTCCAACGGAGCCAAGCCTAAAATGAACTGGTTTCTTCCTTTTGTTGTGCAGTGCCAAAGAAGCGCGGCAAGCTCCTCACCTTCCTTCGTTCCGTGGTGAAGGCCCGCCCAAAGCAACCGAAAGAGCGGGAGGTGGAGAAGGAAAGGGTGTTCGGCCGTGACCTGGGAGAGCATCTTCTCCACTCTGGTCGTGATGGTAAGGGACAGCCCATTCCTGAGAGCTTCCCTGTTTGGCAACCTAAAGATGAAAGGGAGATGGTATCTAGCAAGGGGCCGGTTGATACCAGTGGAGAAACAGGGACTGGGAGTTGACGACTGAAAGATAAAGTGAGTAGGTGATGGCTGCCAGGTAAATGCTCCTAAGGGACAAGCACACTTGTATTTGCTTAAAGCAAAGCCTGTAAGCCTATCCCATGGTAGCCTGAAAAGAAAGGAAGCCTTTTTGGCCAAAGAGAGTGTCCTGCATCAGTTTCCAGCTCCTCCTGGGCGTGAGATTTTCCACCTCCATTCCCGTGGGAGCTGTGATGGGACTTGCAATGTCTGTGGCTTCCCCGGAATTACTTTCTCCAGGCTGATTCCTAGGTCCTGGCATTTCTTGAACGCAAAGAACACATCTCTGTCCAGTTTCCTCAGCAGCTCCTGCAGAGGTGTCTCTGACAGCTGTCCCCTTCAAGGAAGAACTAAGCAGTAGCCTGGCTGGGCTTAGTGGATGGGATGTGACGGGAGCGCAGCCTGAGCCAGGACTTGACTAAGGAGCTCCAGTAACCGCCGGCACGTGTTCTTTAGTCCCCCAGGTCCTCCAGAGCTGCGCCGAGTTCATCGAGCAGCATGGCGTGGTGCAGGGGATATACCCCCTGTCCGGCGTTGCGTCCAGCGTCCAGAGACTGCAGCAAGAGTGCTGCGACTGACAGACACAGCTGCCAGCAGGGGCACGTGCCCTGTTGCGGGCGTTCAGAGGCCTGCGGGCAATGCCTTAGCACAAAGAAAAGGTCTCCTTTGGGAACATCCCATCCAGCACGGCTGACGTGGTGCTGGTGGCCGAGTGTTTGTGTTCTCCTGTACATCAGGAAGCCCTTCCAACTCTTGATTGCATTGGGTGTGGCTTTTGACTTGCTTTCCTCTTTCTCAACCGTTTTCGTGTCCTTCTCTGCAGCCAGGAATTTGAGTCTGAGCAGGTTCCTGAGCTAACCGTCCGCGACGTTCACAGCGCGAGCTCCCTCTGCAAAATGTACTTCAGGGAGCTCCCGAACCCCCTGCTGACCGACCAGCTGTACGACAAGTTCTCGGTAAGCACAAGGCAACGCCTTTCCTTTCCCTCTTCCCTGGGCCTCTTGGGAGATGGCTGCGGCAGTGCCCCCGCTCTGAGGCCCTTCTTCTGTTTTCCCCATATGCAGTTTACTCGCTATGTCTTTGCCACATCCTGCATCGTGCTGATGCCACTTCTGGTGGGAGGTGGTTATTTCCATATTCACAATGCTTGCGAGAATTCCTGTGTTGTTTGTTTGTTTGTTTGTTTGTTTGCCATTCCCCACCTATTTCTGGAACGGGAAGGGGATTAATAGCCAAGTGTACTTGGAGACAAATGCCCCCTGCGAGGAGCTGAGCTGCCCAACCAGGCTGTAAATCGGCCCGGTGCTTGGACTCCTTGGCCTTGGTGGCACCAGCTGCGTGCTGCTATGTTCCCCAGAGGCCTCTGGGGAGGCCTAAAATCTGTCCCTGTGCTGACCAGCAGCGCGCTGTCCCCATGGTTCCTGACCCTGCGGCAGGTATCTCGCCTGATTTGTGTCTCAATCCCTTTCTGTACTTCTCCAGGATGCTGTTGGTGCCACTACGGAGGAGGAGCGGCTGGTCAGAATGCGGGACGCCATCCAGCAGCTGCCCGCTCCTCACTACAGGTCAGTGCTGCCCTCAGCCTGCTGAGCTCAGCCCTGCTGCACTTCAGAGGGCAATGGTGCAATTCCAGGCTTTGTCTCATGCGAGCAACGGGATGCCTGGGTTCGCTGAAGCGGTTGAAGGCTACGCGGGTTTAATTTACAGGGTTAATTTATTGGGTCAGTTCCTGGGCACGGGGGCACGCTTGGTGCAGCTGATGGCTGTGGCTGTGCTGTGCTGGAGCTGGGTGCTGCAGTGTGGCACTTGGTCAAGTTGGATCTACTTCATCTTCAGCATCAGTAGCACTAATAACAACTAGTGTGAATTGAGGTTTGCTTTGTGAGTTGCAGCACGGCATGCTGGCTGGTGCTGAACATTTGCCGCTCTTGTTTTCCAGGGTCCTGGAGTTCCTGATGAGACACTTGGCCTGTCTGTCTGCAAACAGCTCTGTCACCAACATGCACGCTAAGAACTTAGCCATTGTGTGGGCTCCAAACCTCCTAAGGTAAACTTCTTTTTCCGCTTCAACAGAACGCTTACATCTGTTCTCCAGTAAAATAAAGCAGTCCTCCCTTCTTCTGCACCACATGTGCTCTTCTCCTGTAAAATCTGCACTGAGTGGCTGACAGCAGAGCAGGAGCCTGGACTGTTCTCCAACCCCACGTGGGCACAATTTCTAGATGAGCATTGCTGCTCTCTTGTTTAGATGGGACTGGTGTGTCCTTGAACAGCCAGGAGAACTTCTTCAGTGGCATCACTGATTGCCCACTGCAGAAGTCTCCGGAGCCCAGTTTGACAGCTTTGGGCTGCAACAGTTCCGACCTGGGGAAGCGATCTTGGATAAATGACTTCTAAAACCAGCCTTTTCTACAGATCACAGCAGAGCGAGTCTGCCTGTGCCAGCGGGAGAGCTGCCTGCACGGAACTGCAGATGCAGTCGGCCGTGGTGGAATTCATCATCGACCACACAGAGGTCCTCTTCTGCTCCACATCTGGACCTGACATCGCAGATGGAGCAGGTGAGTGTCTTCCTCCACTAGCTTTATCTTGATCAGACACCTGGATCAAATGCAGGCCTTCTCCAAGTCCTTTGAAATACACTTTTCCTGTTGAGGGGACAGCAGACTTCTGGGCTTAGGTTAGAATCTGGCACCCTGTTGCAGGATGCTGAGAATGTGCAAGCCCAAACGTGACAAGAAGAAAACCGTCACTGTCATTACGATGTTTTGCAAGCAGGTGAAGCTTGATTAACGTGTGGCAGCGAAGCTTTCTGAGTTCACCATACCTGCTTTCTAGGGTTTTTGTTTGCCTGTTTCAACACAGTGAGCTGCTCTTAACTATGACTGCGTCCTTTGCCATAGACACACCTCTGAGCACATGGTTGTTTTGAGCTGCTCTTCTTGCAGCAGCTCGGATAAGCAAATCTGAGAGAAACACAGCAGCTCCCCCGGACCTGTGATGGCTGTAGTGCTGCCGCTTTCTGATCCTGGCTCTCACCTGTGGTTTTCCCTTACAGGGCACAGTTCTCTCTCAGGGCCCAAATCTGTGCAGGCGTCTTCTCCTGCCACAGAGCTGCTCACCCTGGAGGAGGCGCAGGCACGGAGGCGAGGCCACAGCAGCTCTCCTGTGGTTGTGACACAGAGCAGGGACATAGAGGTGGAAGAAGGCCCCGCAGCTGTACGGGGCAAATTCCACACAGTCATTGACTTTCCATCTGAAAGGTAAAGAGGACTTCCTTTTCCAGTACCTATCATCATTCGGGTGGGTTTTTGTGTTTGTTTCTTTTTCTTCCCATTATTTCTAGTGGCAAAGCTTGCTGAGACCAAATTAAATTGACGGTGCCTGAAGTGTTGCAGTGAATCTCCACTCCCTTTGGACTGTGAGATTCAACTCACATTGAGTTGCCCGCCGGGCTCAGTTTAGCCTCACAACGGTGCCGTTCCTTCCTTGCTGGGCAGGCAGTCACGAGATGCACAAAGCCACGCTGACGTCTACCCTGGCCTGTGCTGGCTGTACCTGGAAACGCTGGGGTTTTCCAGATTTCAGAGCCTCGTGTCTGAATCCAGTTCTGGTTCTCCTCTACGCAGAGCTGTTGGTCAGACCTGCTGGCACTAGAAACTAGAAATGGCAGTGAGATGGGGCCGATTCGGTGTTGGTGTCAGAGTCAGAGATGCTTTTGAAGTTCCTTTATGGCTGCACGGTTCCTTAGAAAGCAGCTACGCCTGCCAGCTCCTGAAGAGCCATCCTTTAGGTGCTGTCCTGTATAGGTGTGGAGCCTTTGCTCACATGCTTTGCATCTTGCTTGACACAGTTGAGGGGAATTTAGCCAGCAAGACTTCAGGGCTGAGCTATAGGAATGGAACCATCCTCAACTGCTTGAAATGGAGCGAGTTTCTAAGCTGTGTTTCAGCAGGAACCAGGCGGTGCTAGGAACAAGCAACTGTTGGCACGAGCTCAGTGCAGCTCTTCCCTCACCCTGCACCACGCACGGCTCACACCATTCCCTGTTTCCTCTCTCCAGACCAAGTCCACCCAGCAAGATGAAGGAATCACCAGCTGGCTGTTGGTGTTCCTGCTTCAGCCTGGGAAAACCATCCTCTGGGGCCAAACGCCAGCCACAGCGCCATCCCAGGGAGCTCTCAGAAATAGAAATCGTAGTGCTGGCAGGTAAGGGTGTAAATCCAGCTTTCAACGCCTTGCTTTTCAGCAACGTAGAATTCTTGCTGTCAGTGGGCTTGTATCTACTTCCAGCGTTCCAACCCATACCTAACACCTTTAGCTCACGAAAGTGGTTCTTGATCACAGGTAATTCAGCTTGTGAAAGTTTGGCACTAACCCCTGTGTATCCTTCCTAGATGAATTGAGCCCTAGTCCACCCAGAAGAGCCGGAGCTCTTCAGAAGAGCTGGGCTGTGTGCTTCCATGAATGGAGAGCTCGCTGGAAGCACAAATGGCTGTGGATCACATGACAGCCTTCCACATAACAACAGTGATGGAGAGAGGGAGCTCATCCAAGTTCAAGCCCTCATTTCTCCCAGCTCTGCTGAAGATGCTGACCTGAGCCCGCCAGACACCACAGGCACCAGCCTGGACTGTGACCCGGTGCCTCTGCAGTGCAGCCCAGCCCAAGCACAGTCCAAGTGCCCCGACAGCAGCACCTCTGTGCTGGAGCAGGTCAGTATCACTGAGGAGAAGCCGAGCCTCTTGGAGGGGAGCTTAGAATCAGGCCTCCAGTCCCAGGCACCGGGCAGCGGCTCTGAGAGCTCTCCATGACCTTTCCATCCAAGAGAGGAAGATTCCCATCTTTACCTGAACCTCTCACGCCCTCCTGTCTTTTCCTTTAATAATAAAAGCACACTTGCGCTCACTCAACGCCTTGACTGCCTGTGGAGTCTTCATTCCCGGGGACTGGGATGAATGCAACACACAGCAAAGCACCTCAGCTTGCAACGCTGAGGCTGCAGGGTGCACGAAGCAGAGCTCTGGGTTAGTTCCCATTTTGTCTGGCTTTGGGATGTCTGCAGCTCCCATTTGGTACAGTAGCAAACCATCTCTAGCATCCTGGATGCTGCTCATGATAACCCCAAGCTTCCTCGCGGTGGCTTTGTGATGCCTTTCAGGGCTTTTGGATGCACTGTGATGCCTTGGCTGCTCCCTAACACCTCTCTCCTCCAGCCGTGTCCATTCCTGCCTCCCAACCTCCGAGCTGCCTGCGCAGATCATCTGCCGACCTGTCATCATCACACTGCAGAAGGACGAGCTCACCCTGACCCAGCTTCTCATTGGTCAACGCTGGTGCTGTCCCGCCCTCATTGGAGCCTCATTGCAGCCTCTCATTGGTCAGCGGCAGCGCTGCCCCCTCCCCCGGGGTCTCCTTGATTCGCGGTAGCTCCGCCGGCTGTGATTGGCTGAGCTGCTGCGCGCGGGAGCGGTCGTTGGGAGCCGGCTGTTGAAGGCGCGGCAGACCTCGGTGGCAGCCGTTGCTGTCCTGGCAGCAGCGAGGCGGAATCCGCAGAGCGACGGAAGCGAGTGCTGAGGGCAGCTCCGCTGGAGGTGTGCGGGAGAGCGGTCGCGGGACAGGGAGAGGAGCCCTGCGCGGCCCCAAGCAAGGGGAGATGGCTGAAAAGTGGAGCACGGGAAGTTCCGCCCGTGGATGAGAAGGGAGTTCTTCACGGTGAGGATGGCGCAGCTCTGGAACAGGCTGCCCAGGGAGGCTGTGGCTTCTCCTTGTCTGGAGATATTTCAGACCTGCCTGGACGCCCACCTGCACAGCTTGCTATAGGGAGCCCATTTTGCAGGGGGGTTGGACTCAGTGATCCCTGGAGGTCCTTTCAGGCCCAGTTCTGTGATTCTGAGATTTTAATTCTTGCTTCTTGCAGCAGTACAGCATTTCAGAAGAGAGAAAAGCACGGCGGGCATCAACTGGATTTCTGTGGCTGGTAAAGCTGTGCCGAGAACTGGGCTGACTGCTGCCCCTGGAAATGCGTGCAAAGTCTGCAGAGGCAGAGGAACAACTTTTCCTGGCAAGTTGAGCTTGTCTATGGTAGGTCACTGCTAGGAGAGCTTGTGCTTTAAAGCATCAAGTTGTATATTAAGGAAATTTTAAAAGCGAGCTTGCCAAATCACCAAAGTGATTTTTT